CCATGGATGACCCCACATCCTGCAAGCTCGGTCAACGTGCGATGGAGGCGTCATTTCTTAGCCGTCGTGGTGTCAGTGTTGCCCGTCGATGGGTAGCCCGCGGTGCGTTTGCATGGAAATAAATGAGACGGGGGACTGGTTTTGTAATAAAGTTGATTTTAATGTTTTTTTATACTTGCGAACCACCAAGTGTTGTCGGAATAGTCGTACTTTCCCTGAGTTACTCCTACCATTGTGGTTTTAATAAGGTAGCGCTGTGTCGTGAGCAAAACTCGCTATACCTCTAATAAAACACCTCCCACGTGGCTGCTGACTTTTCGTACATTTATAGGGATCTGTACTTGCAATTGTAAACAAATAAAAAGCTGAACCGTTTTTTTAAGTCATTCAAACTCAACACAATTTGTCTGTCACTTGGTGATGCTGAACAGTGTTTTTTTGGGACTGAACGATAAGTCGGGAGTGTTTATAGATCAACCCCAATGCTTTATTTTGTAACGGTCGTGAGCACAGATTATGATTAAGCCATCCGTGGAAACCAAACCCAATAGTAAAAGGCACTCAAAACCAAACTCCCATCTAACGCGACTACCATGGGTACTGTTCCCATGAGCTACACTTATTGATTCCCCCACCCGTGTTGAGGACTGTCTACCAGACACTGTTTCATCTCATCCACATTGTTCACCACCAGACACTGCAGGTCACCTCAATTATCTTTCTGCTTCTTCCCTCGCCTCATCGTCCCTTCTCTCAAAAGCTCTTTATTCAAGTAGAACTGAATCTTGTTGAAGGAAGTCACCCCCCCCCCCCTATTGGCGAAGCTATTATGGCCATAGTGCAATTTGGCGAGAGCGACCGAGTGACGTGAAGTCGGGCCCCGCCACTCGTGCTCGCCTACACACCAAGGCGCTGTTGTTGCCGAGCCGCCCTCTGGCCCCCGGGGATTCCTGCTAGCCTAGGGACGGCACTAACCCCATCTCGGGCGCACTGGTCTTGATGAGCGCCTGCACGGTGCGGAAACTGGGGTGGTCTTTGTCGGCAACGAGTTGCAGCAGCACCGCCTCGCTTGTCGTCACTATCACCCCGGCCTGAGACAGCCTCTGCGAGACAATGCGGACACGCACGGCGGACAGGTGTAAATGTGTGTAAACGCACGGTTACACGGGTGAAAGCAGTTACCCGGGTGCAAGCAGTTACCCCGGTGCAAGCAGTTACCCCGACACGCGAACACGCACAAATGCAAAACATTTGGGCAACCAGTTACCTAGGGCTGAAGATGTTCAAGAACCTTTTTGGTGGGACACATTAAGATACCAAGGGGTCGTCCAATACCAGCGCGCGTGCCGAGTGTAAAGAGGCCATTGGAGTGACTTAGCACTCCAATGGCCTCTTTCCCCCCTCTCACCTTTCCCCACAGGCAGTGTGTCCCGTTATGCAGTCGGGTAAATCGTGCGTGCCAACGAGCAAAGTGTAGGTCTTCTATGCGCCATCGGGTTTTAAACCACGTGCGCACTGATAATTGTTTTTTTACCCTTCTATCTGGCAACAAAACTGACACCTTTTTACAAGGAGTCATGTTTGCATAGACCGCAATACCTGCAGTCATAATACAAACAAAAGAACATAACTCTGATAATGTGCACTGTCCTTGAAGTTGATTGGTCCACACCCGAGACAGCTTTCCTGAGAGCCTAGTCTCACATGGGTTGGACCAGAAGACGCCAAAAGGCGCACAACTCAAAGACAATGCACCATCAGAGTATGAGAGCTCGGGGCAAACATCTACACTATGGGGACCTCATTTGCCAGTAAAAAGGTGTCAGTTTTGTTGCCAGAGAGAAGGGTAAAGAACCAATTATCATTTTTACTGGCAAATGAGGTCCCCATAGTGTAGATGTTTGCCCCGAGCTCTCATACTCTGATGGTGCATTGTCTTTGAGTTGTGCGCCTTTTGGCTCATCTGGTCCAACCCATGTGAGACTAGGCTCTAAGGAAAGCTGTCTCGGGTGTGGACCAATCAACTTCAAGGACAGTGCACATTATCAGAGTTATGTTCTTTTGTTTGTATTATGACTGCAGGTATTGAGGTCTATGCAAACATGACTCCCTGTAAAAAGGTGTCAGTTTTGTTGCCAGATAGAAGGGTAAAAAACCAATTATATTTTACTGGCAAATGAGGTTCCCATAGCACGTGCGCACTGTTTGGCGCAACATTCGACGTTTCGCTCCACGTGCTGGAAGGAGCTTCTTCGGTCACGGCACGTGGAGTGACACGTGGTTACACGTCGAGTGACACGTGGTTACACGTCGAGACCCAATGGGAGAACTGCAACGTCTCGCATCGCGCGCTCTCCCTTTACGATGGCGGCGGCAGCGGCTGGCGGACAGTCGACGGTCAGTGGACGGACAGTGAGCGGACAGTGAGCGACCCGTGGGCGAGGAGCGGCGCGCAGCGAGAGACCTGCAGTGCGAGCAGCCGGTCGGTCTGGCTGCGTGACGACGTCGCGTCGCCCACCACGTGCACCTCGTAGCCCCTGGCCGTCAGCTCCAGGGCCGTCTGCTGGATGCACACGTGCGTCTGTGACGGGACACGCGCGCACAGTGGTAGTGTCAACTTGTATACAGTTACATTCGTGGAGGGAGTTTGGAGAACATGGGCAGGTTAATGACATCATCCCGTACCTCCGAAAGAAGTTCAACATACATCACCTCACCACAACCGATAATCTGGTTGAATCACAGCCTCGTCTATGCGAGTCTTTCGGTCTCTATATGGGTCGTGTTGATGACTCGGTTACACTTTGTCCTCCGTGTACTTAACTTCTCATTGGCCCTGCTTGGCCATGAGCCAAATTCAGACGCCTTTTAGTGAGGCCCAGCATAGCACGATTTGGTTTGGCTCGGCACAGCCAAGGGTCCTGCGTTACTAATTGAACCCTTGCTAATTGGCTGTGTCGGGTTTAACGACGCATTTTTTTTATTTACGCGATCTAACCCAAAAAACCTCTTATGGCTCTGTGCCCCAGTGGAAACGGGGTTTACGATTCTCACCTCGACGCCAAAGAGAACCACGCTGCGGACTGCCCTGAGCTCCCCCAGCAGCAGAGCCTCCACCTCGGGCACCAGCATGGAGAAGCGGGTCTTGGGGAGGACCGCCCTGGCGCCAGCGAGGTTCAGCTCCGGCACGGTGCTGCCCAGGCCCCTGGGGTACTGCTCAGTCACCACGATGGGGACGTCCAGCTCCCGCGCGCCCCCTATCTGCGGCGTCGAGAGGGATGGTGGGGAGAGACAGCTCAAGCTGGGCACAGCTCCGACAGCTGCACGACTCACGACTGCTCAGCATTGCTCAGAACGCGACTGGCACCGCTTACCGTCCTCGGCATCGCTTGGCATTTCTCAGCGGCCACTCGGAACCGCTCAGTATCGCTAGGCACCACTCAGGTCAGGACGGCTCAGCACAGCATCGCTGGGCACAGCTCGGGAACACTCAGCATCGCTGGGCACAGCTCGGGAACACTCAGCACCGTTCGGCACCGCTCAGTGCGGCACAGCTGAGCACCCACCAGTCTCTGCGCCACCAGCGCGACCTCGCCGAAGAACTTGACGGCAGGGCGGAACCGCTCCTGCATGTCGCAGCAGAAGAACGCGGAGCTGTGCGGCTCCAGCAGCCCCAGAGGTCGAGACGCCTGCGAGTGAACACGAGTCACAAGGGAGCAAAACTCGCGCGCACACGCGTCGATTCTGTAGCGCTCTCTGAACACGCGTTTATCATGTAAAGTATTTAATTGTTCATGGCACGAGACGCGCAGGCAGAACGTGACACACACGAGTTCCCGTGTGACACACACACGAGTTCCCGTGTGACACACACACTACCTGCCCCCGTGCGACACACACACACACACACACCTGACCCCGTGTGACACACACACACACCTGCCCCCGTGTGACACACACACACACCTGCCCCCGTGACACACACATACACCTGCCTCCGTGTGACACACACACACCTGCCCCCGTGTGACACACACACACCTGCCCCCGTGTGACACACACACACACACCTGCCCCCGTGTGACACACACACCTGCCCCCGTGTGACACACACACACCTGCCCCCGTGTGACACACACCTCTCCCCGTGTGACACACACACACTACCTGTCTCCCGCCAGACAGAGGCACCGCCCTGAGCCTGCAGGGCGCCTCGATGCTCATCTCGGGACCCGCGTCCACGAAGCTCCCCCACTGCTCGCTGTAGAGCTGCACGGCGAAGTCCCCGCGCAGCGCCGCCTCCTGCTCCCGCTCGCCGGCGAACGCGCTCCGGAACGCGGCCCGAGACTCCTCCAGCCCCGCGCCGCGAGACAGCGGCGCCACCCGGGCCCGGTCACCCACACACAGCAGCGCGCTCAGCTGCGAGGACATGGCGAGACGGACGGCTTCACCGCCACTAGCACTCACTCACTCACTGCTGCTGCTCACCACTGTGACACTCACTGCTGCTGCTCACCACTGTGACACTCACTGCTGCTGCTCACCACTGTGACACTCACTGCTGCTGCTCACCACTGTGACACTCACTGCTGCTGCTCACCACTGTGACACTCACTGCTGCTGCTGCTGCTCACCACTGCCACACTCACTCACTCACTGCTGCTGCTGGTCACCACTGCCACACCCACTGCTGCTGCTCACCACTGACACACTCACTGCTGCTGCTGCTCACCTCTGCCACACTCACTATTATTCCTCACCACTTCTCACCGTGACACTCACTTCTGCCTACTGATCACTCACGCTTGCTGGTTCTCACTGGCGCCTGTGCTGCTTACTACGAATACCACTGCTCGCTGGTGCTCACTATTCCTCACCACTCCTCACTGATGCGGCTCACCACTGCGCCCACCCTGACCCCTCCCCACCCTGACCCCACGCTGAGCCTCTGACCCCTGACCCCATCGCGTCACCCCCCCCCTCCCACAACGCACGTGGGGATGTCGCTGCCCCCGCCGCGTGCTTCAAAAACGCTTCCGGGTCGCGCGAGACTCTCGCGAGACTCTCGCGAGATCCTGCACCGGCCAAGATGGCGGCGCTGTGTCGGTACTCACAGGTGGCGTGGGGACGGGGTGAGGGCGAGGGGTGAGGGGACGGGGCGAGGGGTGAGGAGTGAGGAGTGAGGGGACGGGGTGAGGGCGAGGGGTGAGGGGACGGGGTGAGGGGTGAGGGCGAGGGGTGAGGGGTGAGGGCGAGGGGTGAGGGGACGGGGTGAGGGGTGAGGAGTGAGGAGTGAGGGGACGGGGTGAGGGCGAGGGGTGAGGGGACGGGGTGAGGGGTGAGGGCGAGGGGTGAGGGGACGGGGTGAGGGGTGAGGGCGAGGGGTGAGGGGACGGGGCGAGGGGTGAGGAGTGAGGGGACGGGGTGAGGGCGAGGGCGAGGGGTGAGGGGACGGGGTGAGGGGTGAGGGCGAGGGGTGAGGGGACGGGGTGAGGGGTGAGGGCGAGGGGTGAGGGGACGGGGTGAGGGCGAGGGGTGAGGGGACGGGGTGAGGGGACGGGGTGAGGGCGAGGGGTGAGGGGACGGGGTGAGGGGACGGGGTGAGGGGCGAGGGGTGAGGGGACGGGGTGAGGGGTGAGGGGCGAGGGTGAGGAGTGAGGGGCGAGGGTGAGGGGTGAGGGGCGAGGGTGAGGGGTGAGGGGCGAGGGTGAGGAGTGAGGGGCGAGGGTGAGGGGTGAGGGGTGAGGGGCGAGGGTGAGGGGTGAGGGGCGAGGGTGAGGGGTGAGGAGTGAGGGGTGAGGGGTGAGGAGTGAGGGGTGAGGGGACGGGGTGAGGGGTGAGGGTGAGGAGACGGGGTGAGGGGTGAGGGGCGAGGAGTGAGGGGTGAGGGGTGACGGGCGAGGGTTAAGAGTGAGGAGTGAGGGGCGAGAGGCGAGGAGTGAGGGGTGAGGGGACGGGGTGAGGGGTGAGGATGAGGAGTGAGGGGCCGAGGGGTGAGGAGTGAGGGGTGAGGGGACGGGGTGAGGGGTGAGGAGTGAGGGTGAGGGGCGAGGAGTGAGGGGCGAGGGACGAGGTGAGGGCACGGGGTGAGCTGCGGGGGTGAGGGGACGGGGTGAGGGGGTGGCGACAGGGTGAGGAGGGGTGATGTGAGGGTGAGGAGATGTAGTGAGACGATATAAGGTGATCGGCGAAAGGTGAGTGGTGAGGGGGATAAGGTGAGATGGGTGAGGAGACAGGGATGAGTGGATACGATTGAGCGTTCGGGTATGAGAGGTGAGGGTCAGTGAGTGAGGGGATAAGGGTGAGTGAGGGGATAAGGGTGAGTGAGGGGATAAGGGTGAGCGAGGGGGTAAGGGTGAGCGAGGGGATAAGGGTGAGCGAGGGGCTAAGGGTGAGCGAGGGGCTAAGGGTGAGTGAGGGGATAAGGGTGAGCGAGGGGATAATGGTGAGTGAAGGGGTAAGGGTGAGTGAGGCTGTGTCAGAGGCTTAAGCGAGTGGGGTGTGACCTGGGGCGAAGGGTGAGGATGCGTTGACTGCGGTTTAAGGTGAAGGTTACGAGTGATGCCTCGGGGGTGATGACGGGGTCAGGGTTGGGGTTTATAGGGAGGGGTGTGGGTGGGGTTGGTGAGTCGGTGAGACCGACTCACCAGGGTGGGGGGTGGGTGAGGTTACGTCTACGACAGCACGGGGGTCACGCACTGTCTGGGGGACTTGAGTGGTTCGCGCGCCGCGCTACGAACCCGGCGACTTTGGTTCGGTTCCCGCTCGTGGCCAACATCGGTGGCGAATATCTGACCCGTGCAGTGTAAAACAATAAAACATCAGCACTGGGGGAGATAAAGGCGGCTATGCCCCCCCCCCGCTCCCCACCACCTCGTGCGCGGTGCCGACTACGGCCTCACGAGCACCACGTGCACCCAACAGTCCTTGTGAGCTTCACGGGGGGGGGGGGGGGGGAGTCAAGAGCCGCATGGCTCACAGGGCTCACAGGGCTATACCTAATACATGAACTGAACTGACCTTTCTAGATTTGAAGTTTTCGTGACTGTAAGGATCCCTACTCTTTGGTTTTTCGGTAAAGTCACGTAGGTAAAAAATAAAGATTTATTTATTTTTTACATTTATTTGTTTTCATTTTAATTTATTTTATTTTATATGTTTTAGCTACGTGACTTTACCGAAGAAACCAACGAGCATGAACTGACCTTGTCTTTCTTGTTGCAGCAGCAGTGCGTGTACAGGAGAAGGCTTCAGGCGCTGCCCAGCCTCTGCGCCACCGCCGCACAGCGATGTGGGCACGAGCCGGCGACGCGCCCCCGGTGCTCCAGCACGCGCAGGTGAGGGCAGCCGCGGTCCCCGCGATCATTGTCAGAGGGGGGTGAGTGAGGGGGTAAGGGTGAGTGAGGCTGTCAGAGGCTTAAGCGAGTGGGGTGTGACCTGGGGCGAAGGGTGAGGATGCGTTGACTGCGGTTTAAGGTGAAGGTTACGAGTGATGCCTCGGGGGTGATGATGGGACGGGGTGAGGGTTGGGGTTTATAGGGAGGTAGGAGTGGCACTTTCACCGATGAGGCATCATCATCAGTGTGAGGGCCGCCACACATTTGAAAACATTGGGGGTTGACAGCGCCTTGATGGTGATGATGGGGAGTGGGGGTGTTTTCACATGTTGTGTATTGTCGGGGGCCGCACTAAAGGCCAGCATGGGTTTGGTAATTGCACTTGCTTCATAGCGGCGAGGAATCTCCCCCAGTGACGAGCTCGCATCTGGCTCCAATTCCAAATGGCTCACATGGTAGAGCCTGAACAGACTGAGTGGATTTTGGCAGATGCAACTCTCTCGACCAATGCGCTTGTGAGGAGAGGCAAAACCACATGGATCGTCTCCCTGAGATGTCCTGCAGCACCATAATGTGCTCCTCAAGATTTGGCAAATGCCAACACCGGAAGCCTGTGCAGAATATTGGGAAAAGACGAATATCGGTTGGACAGGAGACACGACAAGAAGATTGGATGATTTCATGTTGTCGAGAATGGAGGATCCATTACACACGTTATTGAATACATTGCCGATCATGAAGGATATACGAATAAGTTAAATGAGAACTGCTTTAACATTGACATCTGTCAAGTGCAGGAGAGGGGGACTGGGTGCGTGTACTTTTGTGTGCCCTATGCTTGGTCAATGTACTTGTCTGTCGTGTACCTGAGTGCAGAGTCCTCGTGTGCCATGCACCTTTGTGTCGCGTGCTTGTTGTTACGTGTACTCTCCGGCCGTGTGCTTGGCTGATGCTCTCGGCTGCGGTTCTGCCCTGCCACAGGGGAACGCGTACTCCACTGGAGGGAGAAAGGGATTCTTTTCGGAGTTTTTTGACAACATTAAGCAGGACATGACAAAGAATAAAGAAATGAAGGAGAGTCTTAAAAAGTTCCGGGAAGAGGCGAAACGACTCGATGAGTCTGATGCCCTGCAACAGGCGAGGAGGAAATACGTGAGTATGGATCACGCATGCCGCACAGGCACCGCAAACACACAGGCACACTCACACTGCACAGAGACACATGGAAACCACAAGCATATGGACACACACCACACAGACATGCAAACAACACACAGAAACACGGACACCATGGGCACATACATACACTCACACAGGCACCACACGCACACATGCAAATAACACAGACACATGGAGACCACAAACACACGGACACTGTGGGCACATAATACTCACACAGGCACCACACACACATGCAAGCAACACACGGACACCATGAACACACAGGCACCATAAATATGCATACACGACAGACAGACACACACAAACAGATATCATGAATATGCAAACATCGGAAAACAACCACACGGACACTGTGAGACATGTCAATTCCACTGTTCTGTCCGCCACTGCCTGCTGTTTCCGTCCGTCTAGAAAACAATCGAATCGGAGACGTTGAAGACATCGGAAAAGCTTAAGAAGAAGATGGAGGAGCTGTCGGACACCGTGAAGGAGGTGCGAGGCGAGCCGGGATGACGAGTTGCGTCGATTTGTCGACTCAAAGCTAGAATCGACGCCTTGTTTGTGGTGGATCATTCAGCCTCTTTCACCAACTGTTGGCATGTTATTAGATTCGCCTGTGTGTGTGTGTGTGAATGTGTGTCGATGTATGTACGTATGTTGAACTTCTTTCACTCCGTACTTAGCCAACCATGCTAATCGGATGAGCGGGGGAAGGACAAAAAACTAAAGACCAAAAGAAATTAGTTTTTAACCGAGATGTAAAAGTGCATAGCTCCAGTGGCTTCCTAATATTGGAAGGAAGAACATTCCAGACAGCGGAAGAAGCGCATCTGAAAGTTCACGATATGCAGTGACCATCTTTGTTCAATGGTTAGCCTTGTGTGTATGTTGTGTCTTGTGTGTATGTTGCGTGTGTGGTTGTACGACAGAGCAGTGAAGAGGTGGTTGTATGATGGTGGTGTAGCCCTGTACATGTGTGTGTGCGACTATGCCACAGGGCTTTGAGGAGGTGGGTGTATGTCAGTGCGTGTATGAATGTGTGTTTTGTTATTGGGGAGCGGTGGAACAGTGGTAAGAACACTGCGCTACGAACCCGGAAACCTGAGTTCGATTCCCGCTTACAGGCAACACCAATGACAATTATCTTAACCAGTCCTGGGCCTCCCCTAGGTTGACGAATCCTCATATGAATATGTGGGCGTTGTGTAAACACATTCACCGCTTGGGGAACACAGGCAGCCGGGAATGCCATTGGCCACCTATCATGTCGTGTGCCGTGCCGGCCTTCATAGGCGCTGCTAGCATGCAGCACTTGCCCCAAAAGTCTGTTTAAGGCTATATGGGGATCTTTGTGTAACTGTGCCGTAGGGCTTTGAGGAGGTGGGTAAGACCGATATTGGGAAGAGGCTCAAGGAGGGAGTGGAGGGAGCCGCCCGCACCGCCAAGGACTCTGCGCAGTCCGTGTCGCGGAGCGGGGAGATGCTGGGGAAGACGTCGGCATTCCGCGCAATCTCGCAGGTACTGGCGGCATCACACCCGACGTCACACCCGACGTCACACCCGACGTCACACCCGACGTCACACCCGACGTCACACCCGGCGTCACACCCGGCGTCACACCCGGCTTCTCACCAACACGCATCGACACCAACACCCACAGCAATACAGCCCAATGCACCAACGTACACATGAACACACACACACAAATACACACACACGGACAGCAATCATTGCCCCCCCCCCCCCTACTACGGAAACTTGGCAGGATCCTCTGGAAAAAGAGTCCTAATGCTCAGTGGGGTTTACTTGGGTAAACACGAGTTACAAAACCAACAGTAAAACTCCCAACACACATCAACTCACGGAAGCACACACACACCGGTCAACGCACGCACACGCGCCAGCGCATCTCGGTGAGTGGGCGACGTGTTTGTGGTGCAGAGCGTGGAGTCGGTGAAGAGGGAGATTGACGACAGCGTGCTGGGCCGCACCGGCAGCTACCGGCCCCCGGCGGTGCTGAGGAAGCGAAGCGAGGGCGCCGCCGACAAGGACACGGAGGAGAAGATCTTCTCGGCCAACACGTGAGACGCGCGGCGGCCACAGCTACGGCGTGACGCACCAGGGGCGGCGTGACACACGAGACATGGAGACACGGAGAGACGCACGAGACACAGCGATGGTGGTGGTGTACATCAGTCTGCTTGATGCGGTGTGCTTGTATGCTGTGTGTATGATGCACGCTGTGTATCTGTGTCCCAGAGAGGCGATGGGCATGGTGCTACACAAGGACTCACGTTGGTATCAACAGTGGAGGGAGTTCCGCGATGGGAACGTCGTCTTCAACAGTGAGACTCCATCCCTAATCCTAGCCTCACCCCTAACCCCAACCCTAACCTCACCCCTCCTCACCCTTCGTGTATTGTGAGTGTGGTAGTGGTGGATAGCGAGTGTGGTTGTGGTGGATAGTGATTGTGGTAGTGGTGGATAGTGAGTGTGGTGGATAGTGAGTGTGGTTGTGGTGGATAGTGAGTGTGGTTGTGGTGGATAGTGAGTGTGGTAGTGGTGGATAGTGAGTCTGGTGAATAGTGAGTGTGGTGGATAGTGAGTGTGGTAGTGGTGGATAGTGAGTGTGGTTGTGGTGGATAGTGAGTGTGGTGAATAGTGAGTGTGGTGGATAGTGAGTGTGGTAGTGGTGGATAGTGAGTGTGGTAGTGGTGGATAGTGAGTGTGGTAGTGGTGGATAGTGAGTGTGGTGGTTTGCGAGTGTGGTTGTCCTAGTTCAGGGGTCGGAAACTGAAATAACAAGAAGCGCTGTTAAAAAAACCTTCAATATTTAAACAGCCGCAATCCATTTGGAGATTTTGTAACGTTGTCGTGGTTAACGTTACCGCAGCCCTCGCAGCAACTATATTGTGGGTGGTGTCGGAGCGGTGTGTGTGGCGGGGCTCGCTGTGCGTGGTGTAAAGCGTGGTGAGACCACCGCGGTGCTGTGTCGGTTGCGGTGTCGGCACGGCGAGTGAAGCTGTGAGCGTGCGCCGCGTCACCGCACCGCGTGTGCCGTGTTGCAGGGTTCTTTGAGATGAAGATGCGTTACGACGAGAGTGACAACGCTATGATCCGCGCGTCACGCACCCTCACCGACAAAGTCTCCCAGCTCGTCGGTGAGTAGCCTCTCTCTCTATCTCTCACTCTCGACCTCGGAGGGGTTTGAAGTCCGATTCCGCCCGCATTATTAAAGAGCAGGGGGGTGAAGCGTCTGCCGTGTCCGTGCTCTGCTGGCAGGGGGACTTTTCTCCAAGACGGAGATGTCCGAGGTGCTCACAGAGATCCTCAAGGTGGACCCCGCCTTCGACAAGGAGCGGTTCCTCATGCAGTGCGAGAAGGACATCATCCCCAACGTGCTGGAGGTGAGCTCACTCGCTCGCCCAGATTCTCACCCCGGCTCACCCAGCACCTCGTTCACTCGCCCAGTACCTTGTTTGCTCACGCAGAGCAAACAAGGTACTGGGCCCAAAACCTCAGTCGCTCACCCAGAACCTCGCTTATCCAGAACCTCGCTCGCTCATCCAGATCCTCACTCGTGCACCCAGGACTTCGCTCGCTCACCTGCATGTCTCCGTGTCTCTGCCCAGGCGATGTTGCGGGGACAGTTGGACGTGCTGCAGGACTGGTGCTACCAGGCGGTGAGTCTGCCCTGCTCTCCCTGTCACTCTCCAATACCCAGGCCCCCTCTGAGCACAGCAGCGTAACACCCAAACTCATCCGCCCGAGTCTCTCTCACATATGGCTGGAGGAGAAATCATCATCATCATCACCAGCCAATGTCTATCCGCTGCTGGATAAAGGCCTCCCCACACCGATCGCCATCTCTGTCCAGTGTTCCTACAAATCCGTCTCACGCATAGACATGAACTTATTTAATCACTCCAACTCTGCGATGGATAGCAACCTTGTAAGTCTATGTACAGATACGTTTAGCTAGCAAATGGCTTCAGTTGATGTGGGTGGATTTCTGCTTCAAAGCCCCCCATTGAATGTTGAGTTCTACTCTGTGGTCCTCACATTGTGATTCATAAACTCACACGGAGGCTCATAGAGTCACACAGAGACCCGTAGACTCGCACAGAGACTCGGGGTCTTAGAGCATGGTTCCCAAACTCCAGTCCTGGAGACTTGTTTTCCATGTTTCACGTGACGTGCAAAGCAATGAACGGCGTCTGCGGCAATGGAGACCCAATTCAAATTAACATTGAGGTCATAATAAAGGTTTTTGGGTGAGATCGCGTTATTATAAATGTGTCGCAACCCTCCACCACCCGACATGACCAATCAGTAAAAAATGTGTCACGTTAACGAAACGCCAATTAGTTACTTTTTCAGCCCACCGGTGTGTTTGAAGTGTGAATCCACAACATTTAGAATTTGAGTACTGGTCGCGAAAGCCTCCGTGTAAAACTGTTTGGAATGTTGGCGTTTGCCAAAATCTCTCGCCATTTCGGGCGGGAGTGCGGTAGCGACACTCGTGCCTCGCAAGCAAGAAACCTGGGTTAAATTCCCGACTCGGGCATCTGCGTGGAGATTGAATGTTCTCTTCCCCTGTTCCTCCCGGTTCTTCGGTTTCCTTCCATCGATGAAACAAAAAAAACATCCAATGTAACTTGTCATATCCAAACATTGCAATGCTGAAATTAGCAACTTGGGATTTTATGAGGGGGTGTGTCGGTGTTTGTGCGCGTGTTTGGTATCGCACAGACGTACAGTCAGCTCGCTCACCCCATCAAGCAGGCTAAGGCCATGGGCTGCTCCTTCCACTCGCGCATCCTCGACATCGACAACATTGACGTGAGTTCCCCTCCTCCTCCTGCCTGTTGTCGTTGTCATCGCGTCTCAGAACCGCGTGCTTTGTCCTGCATGCTAGGGCCTGAATGCCATGAGCTGTGTGCTACGAGCTGTATGTTGAGCTATAACCTTTGTGCTCTGCTATGAACTTGTGATTTTGCTATGCTGTGGTCTATCTGGTTTCTGTGTCCTGCGACTCACTGCTCAACTCCTGCTCTGCTGCGTGCATCCATGCGTCACTGCGTGTCTCTGCGTTTCACCGCGTCTCTCGGCATCTCCACGCATGTGTCCGTGCATCTCCACGCGTGTGTCCGTGCATCTCCACGCGTGTGACCGTGCATCTCCACGCGTGTGACCGTGCTATGCCGCGTGTATCCGCGCAGCTGGCGATGGGGAAGCTGATGGAGCAGGGTCCCGTGCTCATCATCACCTTCCAGGCTCAGCTCGTGCTGGTGCTGCGAGACTCCAAGGGGCAGACGGTGGAGGGCGACCCCGTGCGTACCCACAACCTCTCACCCCCACCAAGGGAGTTAAACGAGCGCGCGTGCGGTTTAAAGTCCGCGTGCTTTAACGCCACTCCTCACCCTGCCCGCTCTGCCCGCACCCCCCCCCCCGCCCCGTGTGTGTCTGCAGGACAAGGTGGTGCGTATGTTGTACGTGTGGGCTCTGTGCCGTGACCAGGAGGAGCTCAATCCCCTGGCTGCGTGGCGCCTCCTGGACATCTCGGCCTCCAGCTCGGAACAGATCCTCTGATCGCTCAGCCCGCTCCCGGCCCCGCTCCCGGCTCCACAACAGCGACCACATCTTGGCTCCGGTTTAGTCAGAGCTCCGATACTGCAGCTCGTAGGGTGTGCCGCCACCGCCGGGAGTGGTGGTTGGTGGTGGTGGTGGTGGGAGGAGGAGGATTAGCTGAGCGTGAGCACTGCTATGGGGGTGGGGGGGGGCACGGTACGGGTGAAGGTGCAGCCCTGAAATTGCTTGTTCGAGCCACTGCTGGCGGAAAGGCCTCCACTACAGGGAGCTCTTAAGAGAGCAAAGAGGGTATTCTGCCTACTTTTCCACACTGGCCCGACATCTTGGAAGAGGTGGAAGGTGGACGCGATTCGTAATGATTCCTCCTCTCTCCTCCTCCGTGTAACGCGGGGGCCCAGGGTGCGCTAGCGGGCAGCGTGTGTCACGTTTATTGCGACCTTGCCCGACCCTGTACTGCCAAGATGAGGACGACACCATTTTTTATTGATTGATTTTTTTAATGTAAAAAATAGTGCTATGTTGGAAGAGAATGGTTATTATTATTATCATCATCATCATTATTATCACAGTCATAATGCGCTATACATGAAGCTATTAAAACAGGCGAAACGCGAGCTGGCTGATGATTCTGCTGTGTCGACGCGACACGGACTCTGCGCCGCTCGGGTTGGGATTGCTCCCTCCACCTCCTGGGCCCCGTGACGACGGAGCCCTGTAAACACACAGCAACAGCGGTGTCTGCAATTACAGCAGCACCCACTCCACTCCATTGTGCTCAACTCCACTCAATGGGGCCATATATTTCTGGCGGCAGCCGCGATCACCGTCATGTCCCATCCGTCAGCGCGTCTTTGTCTCGTGCGACTTGGGATGCGATGGTTTGATGAGCACGAGCAGGGCCATCCATAGGGGGGGGGGGGGGGGTGGGGCCCGGGGCAACGAAACAGGAAGTATTACATCTGACACCACCGGGACGTCGGAAGCACGGGGGGGGGGGGGTAGGGGGGGGTCACCCCGAGTCGCCGTTACCCGAGGGACGGCTCTGAGCACCGCAATGTGATGGTGGACACCGATGAGTGATTGGTCGGTGACACGGAGGTTGCTCACAGCTCCTTGTCTAATCCACTCCAGTCCGGTGTGATAGTGTCAGTCCTCGCCTGCATTGCCCACTCCAGTCCAGTGTGCTCCAGCCACCTCTCGTATGCTTCCAGTTCAGTGTCATCTACTCCACTGTAGTGACACAATCCAATGGAGTGTGAGCAATTTAGCACTTCCCTCCCCCTCTGCATTATCCAATCTCGTCCAGTGTGCTTCTCCAGCCCCCTCTCGTGTGCTCCACTCAATTGTGCTCCAGTCCACCTCGCTCCACTTCACTGTGCCACACTCCAGTCTGCTCCGCTGAAGCGTTTGCCAACTCGGTGGAGACGGGGCGAAGCGTGATCATGACCGCGACGTCCATCACGGCGACGGACTGGGCCTGAACCAGGCCCCCTCCGCGTGGTGAGTGGGAGAGCCGCCCTCCCGTGCCGGCGCGGTTCACCCCACGCTCGCCCCACGCTCACCCCACGCTCACCCCACGCGTCGACAGGGTTCACCCCATGCTCGCCCCCTACTCCGGCGCTGTTCACCCCACGCTCACCTCACGCTCATCCCACGCTCACCCCACGCTCACCACCCGCGTCAACGCGGTTCACCCCACGCTCACCTGACGCTCGCCCGACGCTCGCCCCCCGCGTTGCAAATTAGCGTACGCATCTACCCACCTCCTCCACTGGCACGACCAAACTGCGCCAGGGCCACGGTCGGGCCAACTGGCCCACTGGCGTGGATCAGGAAGCACCAAGATGTGTTTTCCACTGCAGAAACCAAGCCGTGCCGCTAACGTTGCACGCACAAAAAATGTATTGGCCTCGCTCGGGGCTCTTCGGCCCCGTTTGGTCCCCGGCCAGATTCAGAAGTGGTGAGCAAAGTGGTAAAGCCACCCGGACTGCGAGGGAGCCCCACGCTGGCGCGGCTCGGATGTTGCAGTGGAAAAGGGGCGGTCGAGTCCCGACGCTACAAGCGCCGCCCGTTACGTTCTCTTGAAGCGGCTCCATTCAACCTGCAGCTGCTGCTCCACCGAGACCAAGACAAAGATGCCCCGTGTCGCCTTACCATACTTTTGGGGCAAATGTTGTTAGCGAGCAGTATATATGAAGGCCGGCACGGCACACGAGGGGGTGGGTGGCCAGCACCACGCCCCGACCGCGTTTGTCTCGCGAGTGGCGATGTTTACACACCGCGCCAGGTACTCATTTGAGGTTGAGTCGACGTAACCACGACAATACCACTCCCCAGACACCAATACCAATATTGGTGTTAGTGTTCACGCGCGCATATACAGGCCCGTGCACTCCAATCGCTGTCGCACGCACGCGTGGCTGTGCGCTCGTTTCACCATTCCGCCAGGAGCTCGCGCGTTCCCGTTTTTCTGCCGGCTCCTCCCGCCGTTTGTTCAGCGTGAGGCACCGTCTCCCGAAGCCCTTGGTCGTGGCGCTGCGTGGCGCCGTCCGGCCTCGACCACCGCCGATGTTCGCTCGTCGCGCCTCCGGGGCGCCGGCTCCGGCGGCTCCGCAGCGTCCCCGGGCCGGGCGGGCGCTCCCCCCGTCCGCTCCCGGCGCTTAGCGTCCGCACGGCGGCGCTGCGCGCCCGGAGGAGGAGGAGGCCGGCGCGCGGGGTGGGGGAGCGCCGGTGGGAGGAGCCGGAGGGGGAGCGGCGCCCGGCGGCTTCGGGGCCGGCGCCGGCTTGACCGCCGCGGTTCTGCGCGCGCCGAGACGAGGGAACGCGGCGACCTGGGGGGGGCCGGGTTCACGAGCCGCCCCCCTCCCGGACGAGGTCGACCCCCGCGCGCCGCGAGGGAGGGGGGGCCACGCGGAGGGGCGCGGCGGGGAGCGCGACGGGGGCCGCGAGCGGTGCCGGCGGAGCGGAGCGCCCGACCGCTCGGGCGGCGCGCACGGCAGACGGCCGCCCGGGCGGGGACGGCGCCCATCTCCCAGGATGCACTGCGTCACCTGACCGGTCTCCTGCAGCTTCCTGAGCAGCTCCTCGAGCGCCAGGCTGGGTGCGCTCACTCGCTCTGTGTGGCCCTGCTGCTGCCCGGGGTCCCCCCCCGCGGTCGTCGCGTCCGACCCGGCGCTCTCCCGGGCCAAACGGCGAAAGCGGCGGCGGCGGCCGCGGCGGTCGCGACGGGCGACGGCCGCGGCCGGGGGTCCGCGGCGCCGCCCCCGCCGCCCGCCTTCCTGCGCGTCGCGGGCGGCGTCGACTCGGGGGTGGGCAGCGCCGCCAGCTCGGGGAGGGGGCGGCCGCCGGCACGGGGGAACGGCGGGGGGAGCCCCCCGCCCACTCGAGCGCCGTCACGTCCACCTTGCCGACGGCCATGAGCGGCACGAGCAGCGCGGCCGACCTGGCCACGGCGTCGACCTTGCCCCGCGCGGCGCCCTCCAGCAGCAGCTCCTCGAGCAGCCGCGAACGGCCGTAGGGCCCCGCCGGCCCCGGGCCGGCGCCCGGGGCCGGCGCCGCGGGCGGCGGCTTGCGCGGCCGCTCGGGGCCGCCGGGGCCGGCAGCGCCGGAAGAGGCAGACGGTGGCGACGCAGGAGAGCGCCGCGCCGAGAGCGAAGGCGCCGAGCAGGCAGAGCCACACGATGCCGGCGGGGACGCGGCCCGGGGAGGTGGAGACCCGCGGCTCGCGGATCGCTCCTGTGGCGGCACGCACGGCGCCAGCGGCCACTCGCGACACGCGGGACGCTCGCTACTCGCACTTGACACTCACTTCACAGTCATTACACTTGATGCTGCGCACACTTCACACTACACGATCACTACTCACTCAGACGTGACACTACTCACGCTTGGCACTCACTGCACATCACTCTTCAGGCTTGACACGACTCGCACTTGCCATGACTCACGCACTTCACAATCGCTACTCACAGTTGACACTAAACGCAGGACACTCACTACTCTTACACCGTGACGCTCCATGTGATGCTGTGGAGGAGACACTCACGCTGGACGTCACAACGGAGTCTGTGGAAGCACGGGGCAATGGAGACGCACAGGATCATCATCGTCGTCATCACCGTCATCATCGTCGTCATCACCGTCGTCATCATTGTCGTCAATATCGTCGTCGACATCGTCGTCATCATCGTCATTATTGTCGTCCACATCGTCGTCATCACCACCAAAGTCATCATCATTGCAACCACCATCATCATACTCGTAACCATCGACGTCATCAGCATCGTCACCATCATAAGCAGCGCCACCACAATCTTGCACAACCCATGTCAATATACACACTAGGCCACTGCACCAAAGTCAAATCACAGCACACAAATACAAAGATCCCCCGTATAGCCTTAACAGACTTGGGGCAAGTGCTGTTAGCGACCACCTATCAAGGCCGGCATAGCACACGTGGAGGTGGGTGGTCGGAACCACGCCCGGCCGCCTTTGTCTCCCTAGTGGCGATGTTTACTACACAACGCACCTCGTACTCATTTGAGTTCCCGAGTCCGGTTCAGATAATCGTCACTGGTACGCTTAGGTTTTTTCGGTAAAGTCGTGTAGGTAAAAATAATAATAAAAAAATCAATGAAAAAGAACTAAATCGATTTCATAAAGTTATTTTTTATTTTTACTATTTATTTACCGAAAAAACCTAAGAGTATGAATCCCGAGTTCGATTCACGCCGTGAGCGTGAATCGAACTCGGGTCGCCAGATTCACCGCGCAGCGCGCTAATCGCTACACCGCCGCTCCCCAACCACTACCACGGCAACAACATCACCACGGCGCTTGTGCCAGGCTATGTGCGTGCACGTTAAGGCCACGTGAAGTGTCGATCTACCACAGCACATGGCACAGACAGAGACACTGGACCCCCCCTGCAGGACTGTGGGGGGCTCACCGGCGCAGTCAGGCAGGTTCCCCGCGCTCCCCGTGGCGAGGGCTTGCTCCGCCATGGGGCTGGGGACACAGAGGGGACCCCCCCCTCATCCAGTTAGGCACGGCCCCCCACCGACACCAACACTCGGCAACCCCAAACAACCCCAAACATCCCCAAACCCTCGCGTCTCAGTGGGGCTGCTGCTGCGGTTTGGTGACGTCACTGCCAGTGCGTGGCGCTTTGTGACGTGTGGTGTACGGTCTGTGTTTGCGGTGTGCGTGGGTTATTGAGTGTAATGCGGTGTGTGTAGTGCGGTGCGAGTGGTGTGTGTATTGTGTAGTGCGGTGTGTGTAGTGCGGTGCGAGTGGTGTGTGTATTGTGTAGTGCGGTGTGTGTAGTGCGGTGCGAGTGGTGTGTGTATTGTGTAGTGCGGTGTGTGTAGTGCTGTGTGTGTGTAGCGGTGCATGTGGTGCAGTGCGTGCGTGTGGTTCAGTGGGTAGTGCGTGTGGTGCGTGTGTGCGGTGCATGTGGTGGTATGGTGCGTGCGGTGCGTGCGGTGCGCGAGTGTCCGCACCTGCCGTGGGATGATGGCGTGACGCGGCTGCAGGTCCCCCCCGACCAGGCGCAGTACGGGTCCCGGGACGCCAGGCAAGCCCTGGGGCCCACGCGAGACGGAGCAGGTCA